CTTCACCCGAGCAGATGAAGCCCACGACGGAGACGCGTTCCGGAGGCCTACTCTTCCATCTCTGGTGCTCGCCGGAGGTGGAGCGGGAAAGACTTGCGCTTGCTGGAAAGTAGTGTACTTCGCCAAAGGGAGCTTAACCGAGAGGGGAGGATTTGTCTTATAGGCGGAGGCCAGAAGACGAGAAGCCGACGGCACCAAAGGGTCACCTCCCCCCTGCGGTGGGAGAGACGGAGACGGAGAGCCAGAAGTCACCGGAGTTAACAGAAACTCCTCCAATCAATTCGTCACAGGAAACTGAGTGTCAAAAATAAAGGCCTCGCCCGTCCGCTCGCTCGCCGCCGCCGCCGCCTGTCTCGCCTCGCCTCGCCTCGCCACGCGCACGCGCACGCGCACGCGCACGCGCACGGGCTCGGGCCGGGCGGTGGCGGCGCGCGCGCGTGTGGCATCCAGGTGATTCACTGTTACTTCTCAAATAGATCGATCAATGATCAAGTATTTAAGTAGAGTCGCCTCTCGATTAAATTCCCATATGGTATAAAAACCATTAATGCACATGTACGGACCATAGAGTTTAATAGAGATATTAAATAAATGGGCCAAGCCCATAATATCTAACATTTCACTCCACTTTTGGTATAGTGGATTGAGTATGGCTCGCAATGACAATCGGTTCTTTGATCTCTTCATTCGAGACCTCAGTAGAGCCAATTATAAGAGATTTTTGCTTGATACGCTCCATAGTTGCAGCAGGAACCTTCTTCTTGTTAGGCACATAAATTTGCTGAGGAGGTGTCCGGACTTGTTTTTTTATGAGCCGATTCATTGAAACGTCCCTTTGCTTGATATACTTATTCAAAAGTCATTCAAAATCTTATTGTAATTGCACCTCATTGTTGGAACTCTTGACCTTATTTATCTTCCACGTTTCAATCTCCAGTTGCCTTGGTTTGTAGGTGCGGGGGAGGGGGGGAGGCTTTGGTCCACCTTTATTATTAGGCCGATTTCTTGTTTTGTTGTTGTTTAATGCCCTGAACAACAATCCCATCTCCTTTTTGCTCTCTAGTGGGAGTTTTCACTTGCTCCCCAAGCCCAGAAGACTTGATGGTGATTTTGATATTTTTCCGACCATCTACGGACCTCTTGAACATGATTTTGCGAAGTCTTTGGAATCTTGTTGTCTTATGTATGATGGTCACCGTCTGTTAGACCGTTGGACCGTTTACCGTGTTGGCATTTATATAAAATCAGCCTATTTCCATTTAAGCCACCATTTTCTTTCTCGAAACCAATTAAACCCACCATGGAATATGTCTATAGTATTGTACATTTATCTTGTACATACCGTATATGATAATATATTTGTCTACAAACTTGGTCACATTTTTTATAAAAAAGCTTGAGTTATAAAACAAAACTGAAACCACCCATAGTATATATTTTAAAACGAATGGAATAGAAATGGACTTATTATTACTAAACAGGAAAGGTAATGCGTATAAATATAGGCAGCGCGATCGCTCGAGCAACGGTTGGCACGGACGGACAGGAAAGCTCACTGTGTTTCGGTTCATAGAATATGCACTCACTTCCTACGTTAGATGTTGGTTTCGATTTGATTGCACACACGTAATACGTCACGTGTACTCCTAGTTAACAAATAGATCTGCCTGCTATACATGTATTATTATATATGCATAGCCCTTTGTATTAGTTTGTAATAAGGCCAAAACAAAACCCTGATCGTGTTCTGTTCTGTGTGCCATCCATCGATCGAAGACCGATGCCTATACAGGGTTCAAAATTTCGGCTTGCGAATTTCGCGGTGGGCGGAAGAAAAATCCGAAATTTTGTAATACACTAATAAATGTGCTATATATATAACTCTAAACTCATATTTTCTATTGTTTATGTTGCATAATCATAAATCATTCTAATATTTACCTGGATCTTTTTTTTTTAGAAAAACCATACTTCATGTGCAAATCTCAACCAAAATTTACGAATTTCGGTAATTTCAGGGGTGGCCATAATTTTTTAGTACTGGAATCGAAAACCCTGTGCCTATACATCATGCATACAGCCATTTCCATACATTGCACGATACATACTACCTCCGTCCATAAAAGAACGCAATTCTCGTTTCTCGAAAAGTCAAACAGTTTGAACTTTGACTAAATTTATATAAAAAAGTACTAATATTCAAGATGCAAAATAAATATCATTAGATTCGTTATAGAATATATTTTCATAATAAATTTATTTGAAGACATAAATGCTAATAGTATTTACTATAAACTTAATCAAACTTGAACTATATTAGCCGGCACAGATCCCATAATTACATTCTTTTGTAGACGGAGGGAGTACAATCCAAATTGCTCAATTAGCTAGTAGCATCTAAATAATGATCACATGTATGCAAGCCGAGCACAGCGCGTATACAATAGCCTGGATTAGATTCGTATGCATGTTGTCGGATGTTCCATTCATTAACTAGCAGCCAGTTGATGATGAATTAACTCTCTACAGATGAATTAACTCTCTACAGATGAATTAAGGGAATGTACAATACAAGTGCTTGGAAGTACAATATTCTGGTAATATAAAAAATGATGTTTATATTCGTCACGACGAATAATATTAGATGACTATACACTAGTAAGGTATTGACGCTGACTTTGATCACATACCAGTAGAGGCTATATCGCTCGAAGTCGTCACACACGGTCTAAATACACATGCAGTGAAGGAAGATCTCAACGGCGATGTCGACTAGCAGGTCGACGAGGCCGATTAGACACTCCTTAGCCTGTGAAACTTGCAAAGGCCTCCAGGGAAGACCTAGCGGGGAGAAGCATGATGGGGGTGTTCTAGGATTGACAATGTCACCTAAAACGCTGGCAAATCTCGTCGAGAGAAGTGATGGACCGACAAGAGTGTTGAAAGAGCTTGAGGTAGAAGATAATAGGTAAGATAGATTAATTTTGTCGATTGTATATTAGATACCTCAATCGGTAGTGATCCTCCAAAATATATATTGGGGGTGTGGCATTCTCTCAGTAGAAAACCTTCCAATGACACAATCTACAAGTTTTCCATGAGATTAGAGGAGTTTGGTGGATCAGAATTGAGAATAGCTAGACTCAAATAGGGAAAGTCGGAACTTCTGACGGAGCCAACTCCCAAGACCTAGGAGTCTCGCGCAACTCGGAACTTCCGACATCTCAACCTCCCAAGAAAATATAACCTCATCTGGCCCTCTATGGTGTCAACATATGCCACCTTGTTTTTAAAGCGGGGCATATGGGAGTTTTAAAACACATAGCAACAAAGCAACGATGTCAAGCTATCAGTTGCTTTGTTTTATGGGCGATATTGTATACGGCTGTCTTTCAAGAAACTCTAGGCTTCTTGCTCGATTTTTATTACAACGAGCGCGCTAAAGTCTGCATCGTTGCATCTTGGTCAAGTCTGAAGGGCGCCACCTTGGTTCGAAGTACTTTTGCTCCACTATTCCCAACTTCATTTTTACCTGTAGAGGCACTATTGCTCCACTTTTTGCATAGTGGATTGAGCCTGGTTCTCAATGACAATCGGCTCTTTGATCTCTTTAACCGAGACCTCCGTAGAGCCAGCTATATATAAGCGCTCTGTTCGTTTGGGTTTTGTTTGGCTTATAAGCAGTACTTTTTCAGATAACGAATAGTATTTTCTCTCACAATAAATTAGCCAACAGTACTTTCAGCCATGGCTTATCAGCCAAACAAACCCAAACGAACAGGGCGAAGATACTCTTGTTTGATGCCTTGCATAGGTGCAACAGGAACCTCTTCTTGTTAGGCACATAAATTTGTTTAGGAGGTGACTAGACTTCTTTTTTTTACGAGTCGATTCATCGAGACGGTCCTTCGATTGGTATACTTATTCAAGAGTCGAACAAAAGCTGATTGTAATTGCATCTCGTTAGTAAAATTGTTGACCTTATTTATCTTCCACGTTTTTATCTCTAGTTGCCTTGGTTTGGAGGTGCGCGGGGGTCTTTGATCCACCTTTATTAGGCCCATTTTAAGAAATCGGTATTACTGTTTTTGTTGTTTACTGCCGTAGACAGCAACAATTCCATAAACGTTTTGCTCTCTATAGCGGGAGTTTTCACTTGCCCTCCGAGCCCAGAAGACTTGACAGTGATTTTGGTATTCGCCTGACCATCCAAGGAAGCCTTGAACACGATTTCATGCCCCGAAGTCTTTTCAATTTTGCTATCTTTTTAGACCGCGAATTGAACCGTGTGTCCTGTCGGGCATTTATATAGAATCAACTTATTTCCATTAGAGCCACCATTTTCTTTCTCGAAACGAATTAAACCCATCAGTATTGTACGCACCGTATATGTTGATATATATTTATCTATAAACTTGATCAGATTTTTTTTCAAAAAAGGTTGAGTTATCATAAAATAAAGTTGAAACCACTAATAGTATGGGCCTGTCTGGCACACCTCACAACCGCTCGCTGTTTTTTTTTACTAAACACTTATTTTCAAAACAGTTTCATAGGTAAAGCTGTTTTTTTTCTCCTCTTACAAAAATATGAGTTGGGATGGAGCTAAAAATAGTAGCTTATCCTAGCTCTCTCCCTCATGCGCCGTTAGTGAAGCTATTTTACCAAACATTTTTTTTAAAACAGTTCAACTTCGTAAAAAAAAACTACTTGTGAAACTATTTATAAAAAAAATAGTTTTACTAGTAAAGATAAGCTGTGCCAAACCGGCAACAAATGGAATAGATCGAAACGAACTTACTATTACTAAACAGGAAAGCTCATGTGTATGTATGTATGTATAAATATAGGCAGCGCGATCGATAGAGCAGGTAGCCGAGCAGAGAAGAAAGAGGGAGGGGGGGAGCGGTTGTTGGCACGGACGGACAGGCAACGCGCGCGCTTGTCCGCGCGGCGGGAGCGCGCGCGCCTTGCAATCATCATTCCAGAATCAAACAAGCATGGCGCAACCAGGCCGAGGAGGGGAGGAGGGCGCTGGAATGGCGGAGGTGGAGGGGCAGCGGCATGAGCGACGGAGGAACGGCGACGGCGGCCGGGACGAGGCGTGGCGGCGGTGGGCGATGCTGGCGGCGACGGTGTGGATCCAGGCGCTGACGGGGACCAACTTCGACTTCTCGGCCTACTCGTCGGCGCTGAAATCCTCGCTGGGTGTCTCCCAGGAGGCGCTCAACTACCTGGCCACGGCGTCGGACCTGGGCAAGGCGCTGGGGTGGTCGTCGGGCCTGGCGCTGCTCCACATGCCGCTCCACGCCGTGCTCATGGTCTCCGCCGCCATGGGGCTCGCCGCCTACGCCGTGCAGTACTACTGCCTGGTCGCGTCCGTCGCCGTCCCCTACCCTCTGGTACGTGCGTGTCGTCGTCATTGTCATTGCTTGGCGGCGTGTCCAGCTGATGTTCGATCGTTGAGGTTGAGCCGTGGTTGGCAGGCAGTGCATATAGGAGTATATGTCAGTCACCCTCATCGATCAATTACCAGCCGTCTCGATCGTTTCGTTTAGTCTATGAGAAAGAAAGAAATAAATAACAAAAAAGAAGAAGATAGGAATGGACGTAGACGACGATGGAGATTGTAGAGTCTGATGATGGGGAATCAGGGACGGAGGCAGCGAGCAGCAATATAATGGCCAATGGCCAATGGCCGCCGGAGCAGAAAAGGACGCCGGCCCGGGTAGTGCTTGTGCCGCGCATGCCGCTCGTCCTTCCGTCGTCGGTCGCGACGACCATGCCGTGCCGGCCGGCTCCTATTCCGACGCCGTATTATCTTGCTGTGCTTCTATATATTCGGAGGGTGACAGACGGACGGTGACCAGCAGTCCAGCACCAAGCAAGCACGCTACTCCACTGTGGGCTGTTGTGGATGGGAGATGGCTCCATCTGGCATCTCCTTTCCTTTTCTTGAAAAGACAAAGATCGTATTTGCTCAGCTGCACCCGTCGGAACGGATCTCCATCTCCTTCCTTACGTTTATTATCCGAACCAACCCATTCTCACCTTACCTCTTCTTTGTTTCCCCTCTCCCTTTTCTTCTTCTTCTTTGTTGTTATTTTACTGCGCGTGTTTATTACAGAACACATACTTTCTTTAGCATTCGTATTTCAAAGCTTTTCGTATGGTGCTGATCGATTTTCTTGTCATAAACTATACAGTCCTGTCACAAACTATATATATAGTCATAGAATTTTAAAAAATAATGAGGGTTTTCTTTATATTTCATTCTCACATAGTGATTATTGTCTTTGTACGTTAAGAATCCCTACAAATGGCAGTGTTCGGATAAAAAAATAGTTAGATTCTAGAATTTCATTCTAAAATGCAAGTGTTTGGCATTCTTATTCTCCTATCACCTTCTCATGCATTTTCCTTAGAAAATCCAAACAAAGGGCCGAGCAAAAGTGACATGACATGAGATGGGGATTAGACATCCATCATCAACCAGCGGAGTATCCAGCAATAGTTAAGTTACTTCATCAACAACCAACCGTAAAAAAAAAAAAAAAAAAAACCAACCAACCAGTACATTTCAAATTCAGTCTCAGGTCTGAATTGAATGTTATCTGCAACTAACTCAACTCTGCTTTCCTCCTACCAGTCTGCCTCTGCTCTGCTTTTGACTGCTAGATGAGCCACCTGCACAACACGCGCGCTCTCACAAAGTTCTAACTTCTCCTGTTTCTTTGTCTAATAACCTGATAAAACAAACACATACTCCAAACTGTATACGTTTTTTTTCTGGTAAATATCTTGTTCATTGATAGGTGTGCCCAATCCGAAAACCCTTTTTTCAACTGTCAAACAGTGACAACATATTCCAGCAACTAGCATCAATCAAGGAATCAAAATCCTGGGGAAGCGTGAAATGTTCTTGCTTCTATTAACAAGCAAACCACTCAAATTCATTTCCCCCACAGCACCAGCAGGACACTATCTTTATCCACACTAAAAAATCTTGAAGGCCTAGTAGTAGTACACAAAGGTAGATGAGTTCTCAGCCACTGCGAATAAGTCTACCATCACACCAACAAACACACATCGCAATCACATCATGCCATTCCATTCTCACAAGTCACGGCTGCATCATCCACCTACTCCACACCTTCCTTCAATACATTCAGGAGAAATATGTGGCATGTCACAACACATAAACGGAATCACAAAGTTTTAAGGTCACATTGACACAGCACCGTTACAAAATACTATACAGTATTTGATACATAACCTCACTTCCCTTCTCAGCTACTCAATGCCTACCACATATCAGGCTACTGGGAATTGTTGAGGAAAATGAGATTACATGTCCCATTCCAAGCACATTTTAAAAGCATTTATCTCTACATCTTCAAAGGAAAAAAAAATGTGTACATTCTTCCAGTAGTAAAATGCATTCCAGGCCCTATAGATAGGCCTCCCAGCATAGAAATCAACCCTGCAGTTTTCAGTAGATAGTCTATATTAGCACACCGGTTTTCTTGACAAACTGATTGCAAACACTTCACTCGAATGTATTCAAGCCAAGATGTAGAGACGACAGAGGTTAAATTGTCAATTAAAAACATAATATGCAAATGCAATTTATATTGAACTTAATTGTATCATCAAATTCTGATTCATATGTTGGCCCTTGCAGGTGTTCTTGGTCTGCTTGATAGCAGGGTGCAGCATCTGCTGGTTCAACACAGTATGCTTTGTTCTCTGCATACGCAGCTTCTCTGCAAACAACCGCTCCCTGGCCCTCTCCCTATCAATAAGCTTCAACGGGCTCAGCGCTGCCTTCTACACTCTCTTTGCGAATGCCCTATCCCCTTCCTCCCCAGCTGTATACCTCCTCCTCAATGCAATCCTCCCTTTTGGTGTCTCTATTCTTGCACTCCCAGCAATCCTCCTCTGCCACACAAATGACAGCCACCTCCAAAGTGCGCCCAGGCATGACAGGCGTGTCTTCCTCGGTCTCTACATCCTCGCATTCATCACCGGCATATATCTGGTGGTCTTTGGATCTTTCACGCAACCGGCTCTACTGCATGGGTCATCCTCACAGGTGCCATGGTCCTCCTCGCCCTTCCTCTCATCATCCCTGCCTGCTCCAGTTGCTCATATGTGGATACAGATGGCCCTGACCCTGCATCGCCACTAAACCATGATGATCCACATAAGCCACTCCTAATCAGTAACAATCATCAGATGGAGTCCAATGCGATGGTGCAAAAACCAATGGAGCACAGGACGCAGGGCAATTGTTGTGGAACAATAGTGGGCAGGGCCACCTGGCGGCGCTTCGGTGAAGAACATAGTGCAAAGAAGCTCATTCGGTGTGTGGACTTCTGGCTCTACTACACAGCCTACTTCTGTGGAGCCACTGTTGGCCTGGTATACAGCAACAACTTGGGGCAGATTGCGCAGTCATTACAACAGCAGTCACAGCTCACCATGCTACTTGCTGTCTACTCATCCTGCTCCTTCTTCGGTCGTCTTCTTTCTGCACTACCTGACATCCTTCACAGGTATCTGTTTTGCTTTATACACAAACATATATCTCATCATATCACATGCTTCCTAACTAAAATTTGTATACAGGAAGGTGTCACTTGCTCGCACAGGGTGGCTTGCTGCTGCATTGGTCCCAATGCCAATGGCCTTTTTCCTTATGTGGAACCAACAAGATGCAAGCACCCTGGTAGCAGGAACAGCACTAGTTGGCCTAAGCTCAGGGTTCATCTTTGCTGCAGCAGTGTCAGTGACCTCCGAGCTCTTTGGACCAAATAGCGTCGGGGTGAATCACAACATCCTAATCACCAATATCCCACTGGGCTCACTCCTCTATGGCCAGATTGCTGCCATGGTATACGATGGAAATGGCCAAAAGATGACAGTAATGGATAACAGCACTGGCACTGTTGACACCATGATTGTGTGCATGGGGATGAAGTGCTACTCAACCACCTTCTTCCTGTGGGCTTGCATCACATTTCTGGGGTTAGCATCAAGCATAGTTCTATTCATACGAACAAAACCAGCTTATGCTGCTGCTGCTAGCCGGTCAAGTTGTAAGAACCTTCACCAAGTTTCCAGTTAACAGAGAAACTCCTTTATCAGTTCCTTACTGATTTGAAACCACAGTTAGCTTGTACAAAAAAATTGACTTAGTTCTAGGTGAAATGGGCTAGATACAATACACGAAATGAATACCATGACAAGAGACATCAAGAGGATAGAAAATTATCAGCTTATCAGCTGGTATGTAAAGTACAACCAGTATTACCTTTACTGGGATCAATACTAACAAGTAGGCCCAAGGTTGGATGAAGTCAGTTTGGAATGTTTATTACTGGTTGACTGAGACATGTGCAAAATCCTCTGTATTTATTGTTGTTATGTACGTTGAAATTTCGACCAATGAAAACATGGCATCTCAAAGGAACGAATTATTTTTTGTAAGTACTTCTCACGGTAAATCTCGTAACATCTATACCTTAAATAATCAACCTAATAATTCTTATACATTTATGATCAAAGTTAAAAAAGTTTGATTGACAAGAATATTCTGACTTGGAGCTAGTGCTACTTAACGACGTATCACATGGTAGAGTTCAGAGCAAAAAAAAAAACTCGACCGGGGGGGGTTAAGACTGCCCCCGCAGCATTACAGATAAGAAGAAGGACCTTCTCACCCGGCCGAGAAAACCCCCGAACCCCCGCCCCCACCCTTACACAGTGGCTTTCCGTCGCCCAAGTGAGAATTGGGCCGGTGCCCCCCCAGTGCTTTGGTTATGGGGACGGACGAGGGGGTTTTTTTAACCTCAGCCTTATTTAATGTAGGTCAACCTATAATTTTGGAAGGATGACCTAGATGGACCACTCCAGTGAGCTGTAATCAGAAAAGAAATATAATTCAGTATGGAGCCCATGGAACATTCGATTCAGGCAAAGAAATGGACCTTTGTCACCTTTCTGAACCTATAATTTTGTTATTATATTGTTAAATAGCACGGTAGAAAGCGAATCCAGTGTGGATACATGCCTATGAACCTTTAAACATTCCTGGAAGCTACCATCCAGCAATTTCAGAGAAGTCAGAGAGAGTATTCACTGGAATGCAAAAAGAATCACATTTGTATTACTTCATTTGAGGGGTTACAACTGGAGGATGTGAATGCAAATACTTGAACAAAAACAAGATGATCGGAAAGTAACAGCTTAATAGCTGATATGTTAAAGTACAAAACTAACACACCATTCACAGTCCACAGAGCATGAATACTAACAAGTTTGCCCAAGATAGCATGAGTCAGTTTAGACTATTGTTGCCAGTCAAATAGAATTGTGTGCAAAATGCTCCATGTTTACTGTTTTTATGTTATACTTAATGGCTTAAAGTATGCAGGACTTCGGAGATTGGATCTGATTGGCATTTCAGCTTTCTGCCTAAAATGAAGTCAAATAACTTCTCTTTCAATCTTTATTAAGGAAATACTGATACAGCAAACAGGGGATCAATGAGTTCTTCAAATAGGACAATATGACACAGAAAGTTTTACTTTTGCAAGAATGGTCAGGATGGACTACTAAGGTGTTGAAAAGGAACTAAACTTCATTGAGCAATATTTGAAAAGGAACTGCACTTCAGCGAGGGATCCACAGAGCATTCAATTATTGTACAAACAGACATACAACTTTCAGCTCTTTCTATACCTACAATTTCGCTGTTATACTGTTAAAATAACACAATAACAAGTGAAATCCAGTCTGAAAGTGTATAGTTTGTTCCCTCGAAAAAAGATCCATCCAGGCATCCAGCAATTTCCGAGAAGTAGTACAAATTATTCACCAAATGCAAAAGACTCACATTCATATTACCTCGTTCAAGGGCTTACAAATGGAGGATACAATCACTTGACAGGATGCATAACTCATGACTATTTCTTCTGTTGTTCATCATGCTTGCGCCATGGGTTCAGGGCTTCCCTCATAGCTTGGGCCTCTGGACTGCTTTCCCAAGCTCGTTTTTCTGACTCCAAGACAACAACCTTATCATCTGTAGCATATAACCATGGGGAAAAAAGGTACATATATGTAAGAGACCTTCCTTTGCAGCAGTGAAAAAATAGAAAGCCTGACAGGATGGATGGTACTTGGCAATCTGAACTCGTTGTATGGCCACCAAAGTATCAGAAGTTTGGATTGTTGTTACATGGGAAGATGCACTGAACCAACAACTGGTGATTCGTGGTAAATTTGGGTACTTTGGCAATTACCCAATGACTTAAACAAGCCCATTGGTTTCATAGTCAACCATCAGCTGGTCTGAATTTGGATGACAGGAAAAATGCAAGTGCTAATTGGATCTAGAAGTGCAGCAATGCTGCAGTTGAAAATTAGAAAACTTCGCAATCTGCATAAAGCTACCTACAGGTTAAAAAAAAAAAGGGGGACTGGATGTATGCGCTCAGATGGGCAGCCAGTAATAATATTGATTGGAGTGTGGTTGGTTATTAGAAATCAGAAATAAATTACAAGGGTGAGGGGGCTTGGATGCTGAGCAGAGCAGGGAGGGAGAAACCTACAGAAGCCCGTGTGGATCATGAAGAGCTCCATGGCGGCGCCAATGGAGGCCCCGACCGCCGCGATATTCAGGTACCAGCCCGCGAACCTCATATGCATGGACCCTCTGAATTCGTCCCTCGGTCAGGGAGAGTTTCCTGCTAGCAACTGCAAACTGCGACCGACGCACAACGCGGTACGAATCAAAGGCCAATCCCATGGATGGAATGGATGACTCTCGCACCGAGAACTAGTGTGCTTGTGGGGGGTAAGGTAGCGTCGAAGGGGCGTTGGTACTTACGGGTCAGAACTCGGAAAAGTGGTGGCCGGAGTTGGGGACGGGGACGACGGAGACCAAAGCGGCGGCGGCGGGTTTCTGGTGGAGAAGAGTGGGAGTGGGGGCAGTGGCAGTGGTGTTGGGCTCATTGAACTAATTCCACATTGGCCCATGACGGCCTAGTAGGGAAGCCCACCACAACATGTACATACTTGTCTTCCACTCAAAAAAAAAATGTACATACTTGTCGATATGTTTATTTGTTTTTTTTTCGATCAACGACTCTTTGAATATTTTGAATAAAATTCTCAAAAATAAAATTGGCACGGTAGATTTTGTCCATAAATTTTTTAAATACTATAATTTTTACTGTGCTGAAAATGGTACGGTTAAAATCCTTAATACATTTTTTGCGATCAATTCTCAGTATGCTTATATACTACTGGTGGACAGGCATGTCCGTGCCGCACGTGTCTATAACAAAAAAAAAATCTCTTTTATAGTACAGAATTAAAAAAAATTGAGACTCATTTAAAATCAGAAAGTCTAATGGCTCTTAGTCTCTTATAACTTGTTTATCTCTATTGAAATGTCTAGTAAATGATCTTGTCATGGTTTTCTTCACGGCTAATAAGCCATCAAAAGTATAATGGTCTGCATGTAAACAGTGGATGTATTCAAGCTAATGATCACCAAAGGCTGATCATGATATTGTGGGAAAAAATATATTCATAAATAAATATAAATAAAGTTTGACGAACCATCTTTTTTAATGGCACATGTGGTACCGCACATACCTAATATTAGAACTGGTAGCTTTGGCTCTTACTTGGCTTTTTACTTTATTTGAACTTTAGCTCTACCAAACCCACCACTACCAGGATGGTCAGGCTGTGCAAGACCGAAGGAGCCAGGTTGAGCTCGTGCAGGCGGTCGTGTTTGGTTGTCATTGTTGTTGGTCCAGTATAAGATGAGGTCGTGTTTGGTTGCATGCATACACCAACGTTTTGGTATTTGACACATGGGCCCCTACACCATGCGTGAATCAAACCGTCCTGCATCAAGAAGGAAGTGGAAATTGAGAAGACGGAGGCGTGCGGGATGGAGGAAGACAGATGAATGAGAGAAAGCAGGCGAAAGGTGCGAGCAGGGGATGGAACCAAACATGGTGCAAGTGCACCGAGCGATATCGGATGGCCCTTGGGACGGCGTGAGCGGGGCAACCAATCACGCACTAAGGAACTTTGGGTAAATCATCATGTTTCAATGGAGTCAAAGATTGCTCAACACAAAAATTAAGAACAAAGGTATTTGCTGACATGCACACCAAATCACATTTATGTTCTCCTTGAGAATCATGGCTTTGCTGCGCACATGTCAATAGGCCATCCGTAGAGCAGGACAGGTAATTTTTGTGATTTGTGCTTTGCAATAGTTAGTAGTTCATTACTGTATTATTGATGCTTTGAATAAGATTTGGCACTTATGTATGGTCGGCGGGGTGGATTGGGTCAAATCCATTGCTCTCAAATATGACCGTGCAAGTTTTCGAAACAGCAAAGCAGTATTGTATGGTTTAAGTTACCTTATATCAATATGAGAATCAAAGATTTGGTATTGTAAAGGCAAAGATTCAAGTTACGAGATAAGCAATACTCCTATATGCAGCCAAATATATAGCTTATATCCTAGTTTTGATGCAAAGCAAAATATAGTTTTTTGATTGTGCAAGAGCTTCTACGATCAAAGTTAGTGGTTGAGCAGTATGCTACCTTGTTCCTCTTCCTTAGCTGACATCATAACAGATTAACAATGAGGAAATACAGACAACAAAAGATGTATCCTAGGTGTCCCGTCCTTGATTAGCTTTTTGGGAACCGACTCAGGTAGCTGTTGGAGAGGTCTGCAAATATACACAGGAAATGAGGAACTGCTTGCATTGAGATTATTACATATAGAGTACTCTTTACCTGCAGAATAAACTGCTGCAATGTCTCTGTAACTCATGCCATCCTTAATAGGGGAAGCTAAATGATACAGTGTAGAACCCTGCTGTTCTGACATCTTCTTGAAGGCTTACTTTCAGCAAACTTGCCTGCTCTGCCCCCTCGGGGCCAGCCTGCAATGCGTGAGAGAAATAGATGCATTAGAGGCAACACCTGCATTTGCTCCATTATTAATTATAAGACCAAAAGAGCCAATAATTTGTAATACAAGTCGTATTTCGTCAAACACATGACATGCAAATTCGTAGGTAGGCCATCAGGCCAAGCACGGGAGGACAAAAACTAAATTGAAACCACTTCGCTATGATGCGATCACTTCACCTGCTCGAGTGGGAGGAGATCGCCCGGTCTCTTCTTTACTTAATCCCAGCAGGGAATATGCCATCTTTTACAAGACGTTGTACGGGCGTACGGAGCATGTAGGGAGGCGGAGGCGGAGGCGGTGGAGATAGGGTCGGAAAAAGCCAACGCGCATAGCGCCTCGCCCTGCATGCTTCGACGCCTTTCTCGCAGGCACCATCTTTTCCTCCTGAAGAGAACAATCACGAGCACGAGGCTTCGCGGCAGTTCTCCTGATCGTCGTCGACGTGTGTTCGGCGTCGCGGCAGTTCTCCACGGTCGCCATCTCCCACGCGCCCAACGCCACGCTCGTCACCAGCGCGCGCCGCCGATGACACGGGGGCGAGGTCACCTGCCGAGCCCGAAGGAGAAGCGGCCCGCGACCGAGTTGGCGTCGGGTCACCATTCACCACCAACAAGCCGGGGATCGGGGATGGTAACGGATCGGGAGAGAGGTGCGGCGCCGATCGGGAGTGTCGGAGGGATAACTGACGCTGTTGCCAGCGCCGGCGCCAGCGCGTGATACCGTTGTCGCGGGGGCCTGGGTCGGGGCGGCGGCGCGGATTGGGATAGAGTGACGACTGTTCGGCCGGGACGGAACGGTTGGAGGGAGGGGCAGCGCAAGGAAGGAAAAGGGGTACCGCGGGCGGGTAAGGATTGTCGATGGTGAAAAACACACACGAAGGAACAGTTGTCCCAACGTGAAACACGCATGTGTTTCGTACATTACAGTCCTCCCACGTGTCAATCTAAGGTGGATAGAAAATTTTCATGGTAACGATAGATTTTTAATTCTTTCGCTCCTTTATAATATACTCCCTAAACAAAGTCGTTTTGGATATTGACCTGGTCTTAAAAAATAACTTTGACCACTACTTTTTGCTATAAAATATTTATAAAATATAGTCAATATATACTTTTATAAAACTACTTTTTACGATGAATCTACTTACGTCACTTTTATATTTTCAAACTCAACTCAAAAGAATTTATTTGTAGTCAAAGTTCAAAATGTTTGACTTAAAACAACATCAAAACGACTATCTTTAGGAACATGCAGGGAGTAGATAGATATATAGACGTAGATATGTAGTGATGACTAGAGGGAGTATACACTTCTTTATTGGAGTGTAATTGAAAATAAGATAGCAAGGCGCACTGTGACTGAAAAATGTTTGAAATGATCGTTGAAGGCGAGTAGCAATCTCGAAAGATCAATAGCATGTTCGTTTGGCTGTGGCTTGTTGTAAACGATCGTAAATTTTCAGTTGAAACAGTATTTTTCTCTCACAACGATATGAACCAGCCAACCGAACAGGTCGCTATTGGGCAGAATTGCTCCAAGAACCACACATATCATTTGATTTGATTCATCTGAAAACCTTCTCCTCATGGGGCCATTGGAATCCACTTGCATGGCCATGGTTCACACAAAATATATATCCAAAATTGTCAGCTTGCTGACGTATCTACATTTTAAGCAGTCAGTATCAGCATCGCCAAGACCACTTGCCCAAATGGATATGATGCTTTCAGTTTCAGATACCAATTGGTGGACAGCAAACCACCTTTGGTAATTCTGCACGATTGCAGTTTGCGCTTTGCAGGGAAGAAAAAAGAGAGCCGTTTTTCTTAATCCACTGATTTAAATCCTAGTTGAAATATATATATGAATTATATATATATAGTGCTTTCTACAAGAATTTCTCCTTTTCTGTTTTATGTGAAATTCTTGCATTTGTGGCCATATGTCCTGTCTGTCTTCACTCTGAACCATTTGGTTGAATAGAAGGCGAGATATTCTTCCTCTCGCTCGCGCGCATGGTGACCTCGCCGCCGGTGACGGTGAGGGCGGTCGCCTGCGCTCTCACCCTGACCCCGTCATCACGGCTGAGCCGCGCCTGCCTCGCACAGCGCCGCCGCCGTCGGCGGCCCCCTCGATGTAGCAGGAAGCAAGCCGTGGTCGAGGAGGAAACAGCTTCTACGCGGAAGGCCAAGAACGGGGAAGGGGACGAGGGGCGCGGGGCGCAGGGCTGGTTTGCTCTGGATACGATCGGGCTGGACATTCTCAGCGTCGCTCTGCCCGCCGCCCTCGCGCTCGCCGCCGACCCCATCGCGGCGCTCGTCGACACCGCCTTCGTCGGTCACTTAGGTGAAGCAAAGCTCTCCCCTTTTCCTCAATCTCTGCCTTTCTAGGGTCAGTTTGTGGACTGCTGAATGCTGATACAAGTCTCATACTGTACTTCAGATGGAAACATTTCATTCATCTTTCCAGTTTTTCCTAGTCAATGAACATTTACAGAATGTTTAAATACCCACAATTTTACTGTCATCAGGTTCGGCCGAACTTGCTGCTGTTGGTGTATCAATTTCAGTGTTCAGTTTGGTGTCAAAGCTGTTTAATGTGCCCTTGCTTAACGTGACCACATCCTTTGTTGCTGAGCAGCAGGCAACGGATGATGGTTTCAGTGGGACAAGAGAAGGTAAGCTGCTGAAGAATTCGAACATTTGTTAGAAATGACCCCACTATTTGTGTTACACTAATCCATTATTTAGTTCTACTTAGGATATGGCTTCCAAGGTCTCCTGAGGAGTTGACCCCGAATAGGAAGTTTCTTCCCGCAGTATCAATATCGTTGGCTTTAGCTGCTGGAATTGGGCTGATGGAAACTGTGGCACTGATTTTTGGATCGGGGACACTAATGGACATGATCGGCATTCCTATTGTAAGTAAGAAGTTTCATTTCTTTCCATTCTCAGAAACTTTAGTATCAATGACTTGGCACCCAGTTGGTTATCCGCTTAGCCGGTACTTTTTTTTATCTTCATGATGGAATGTATCAACTATCAAGTTAATATGGTATTGCATCAGTTACACTACCCAAAAGTTGTCATACTCTAGCTATGTTTCTTTAAAATAGAAGTATCTTGGACCTGTCATATAGACATATGCCTTGTGTCAACTGCCAATAGTTGAATTGAGGACCATGAATAACTGTGATACTAACATATTTTAGTTTTGACATTTGAGTCCAAGTTTTTTATTATCTGTTATTCTTACAGTACCTGTACTCAAACTGTCAAACCTGATTTGTTGTATATTATCTATGCAGGATTCCCCAATGCGAATACCAGCTGAACAATTTCTTACATTTAGGGCATATGGTGCTCCACCGATCGTGGTAGCACTTGCTGCACAGGGTGCATTTCGTGGGCTCATGGATACGAAAACACCTTTATATGCTGTGGGTAAGATTATAGGAAACTCTTTTGGCTGAAATGAACAAACTAGAGCATGTGAACTTTTGCAATTATGTATTTCTTATGAGCAAGTTTCAGGATGAAATGTCTTGTGCATTTAGTTGACACTTCAGTGATCTATACACATGGTCATCTTGAAATTTAACAATAATAGACCTGTCAATGTTATGAATTTTAGATTTAAAGTATGAGCAATGGTGGCTTGGTTGCTAGCAGCGGTTTGTGGCGCCTAGACTTGCTTGGCAGCGGCTAGTGCGGTGCAGGACAGCGTCGGTTGACGGCGCTAGCACCAATGGCGACATGTCTGCAAGCTACAAGACCAGTGCGGTGTCTTCATGGTGATGGCATTGGCGACGACCAATCTTGGAGTTTGATGGAAGGTATGGTGGTGGCGGCGTCCCCGTCTTTGACGGGCACATGGTGTGGTTGGCAGGCACCTTCAGGAGGCGATTTGCTGGGGTTGGTGACTTCAAGTTGGCTGCGGTTATCTTTGACCGGTGTCACGGCGGCTGGCCACGCATGCTAGTGGCCCGCTGTTGTGACAACGACAACTTGTAGAAGGCAACGACAACTTGTAGAAGGCAACTCTCGTTGGACAAGTACTCGGGCATGGTGCTTTGGCTTCCTATGTGTGGCTTCACGGGACTGTCTTCGCTCATGCAGCAACATGGTGTGGTGACCCGAGATGTTTTGGTGCTTGGCGAGCTGGCAGCGGCTGTAAGGCTGGCGCCACATTGACGTATCATGCTTGCCAGTGACTCGTTCGGTGTGGCAGCAACAACTCGTTTGGTGGTGGCTCACTTCGGTTAGTTCCATGCTTTGGGCTTGTGGTTTGGGAAGGGGCATTGGGAGAAGTCCTTGCTCGGCTATGCTGATGCTAACAATGGCGGCGCCTGTGGGCGTCGTGGACCTCACTGGAGGCATTGTCATGTGCCCTCATCCCATTCTCGCCTCTACCTTGGGGTTCTTATTCTGGTTGAAGAACCTGTGCCGGTATTCCGGTTGGCTTTGACGGCGTCTGCGGATGTCGTTTCCTCCATGGAGGCATCGCTTAGTGAACCCTTTGGTTGTTGCTGCTGCAATAGGCAGGATGGCGTTTTGAGGGCAGCTTTGATTGTGGTGGTTTGCCATGCCATTGCTATTGTCGTGTGCTGGTTTTCTGGGGTGGAGGTGTAGAGGTGTTGTACAGTGTTTGTTGTTATTTTTTTGGTATCTACTTTATTAATACATAGATCGGCAATTTAACCTGACGGCTTCTCTTAAAAAAAAGATTTTGGAAGTGATAGCTACTACAAATGCAAGTTGTGAGAACTTTGCCTAATGATTGTTTTATTTATGATGCTTTATGTTCCTGCAATATTTTTTAACTCCGCCTACGTTGTCTCAACATAGCAGGTCCCAAGTTCTGGTAAAGGAGGAGGGTTGTGATAGGCGTGGCGAGCCAACGTTAAATCTAGCCATTCTAATGGAGATGAAACCCGAAAGAGTACCACAGAAGCTAAAAGGCAAGTTTTATAGGACGACGATTAGACCTGCTATGTTGTATGGTGCAGAATGTTGGCCTACGAAAAGACGACATGTTCAACAGATAAGTGTCGTGGAAATACGTATGTTACGTTGGATTTGCGGTCATACAAGAAGGGATCGAGTTCGGAATGATGATATACGTGATAGATTAGGGGTAGCACCAATTGAAGAAAAGCTTGTCCAACACCGGTTGAAATGGTTTGGACATATCCAACGGAGACCTCCAGAGGCACCGGTGCGTAGTGGAATCCTAAGCCAGGATAGTAACGTGAAGAGAGGCAGAGGAAGACCGAAGTTGACTTGGGTATAGGCAATAAAAGGAGACTTGAAAGGATGGAATATACCTAAAGACTTAGCCTTAGATATGAGTGCTTGGAAAACAACTATTTACGTGCCTGAACCTTGATTGCTTCTGTTGGGTTTCAACTCTAGCCTACCCCAACTTGTTTGGGACTTAAAGGCTTTGTTGTTGTTGTTGTATGTTCCTGCAAACGACAAAAGTAAAGATTTAAGCACTCTGGATGCAGGCGTTGGCAACCTAGTAAATGTCATACTTGACGCCATACTTGTTTTCCCACTTGGTTTAGGAGTTAGAGGTGCTGCCTTGGCAACAGTGACCTCAGAGTATGTTGAATCCATCTTAAGAATTCAATGTGTTTCCTTTTTTGGATTGTCTTTTCATCTTCATGACTGCACCCATGAGAACTAAATCCTTGCTCCTTGGTACAACTATCTGCTTGTTGTCAGGTACATGATAGCTTGCATCCTTCTCTGGAAGCTGAATAGTAAAGTAGTACTTTTTTCCAGAAATGTAATTGGTGGTGGAATCATACGTTATCTAAAATCAGGTTGGTGGATGCTCCAAATATTTATTAACAAGTACTAATACAGGACAAACTTTTGTTGCAACTCCATTAATCTTTAACGTACTCCAAATTATAGGTTACTAGATCAGAGCAGAACCTCATGATAGCCACTTTAACTGAAAACTATTCTTTAGGTGGACTTCTTATTGGCAGGACTATTGCAGTACTCCTGACCATGACACTGTCGACATCGCTGTCTGCAAGGGAAGGGCCTGTTCCAATGGCTGGCCATCAGTTGTGCTTGCAAGTGTGGCTGACAATTTCTCTTCTCAATGATGCATTAGCTCTTGCTGGGCAGGTCTGTACATTTACAATATGTGACATTTCTTGTCTAGGGTCTTACATTACAAATCTGTATGTGTTCTGTTTTAAAGTTTCCATAATCAATGCAGGCTCTACTTGCAAGTGAATATGCGAAAAGGAATTACAAGCAAGCTCGTTTAGTTTTATACAGAGTTCTGCAGGTTAATAATGCACTTTGAAGTTCAGAAATGCTGCTGCTCCAGTCATGAGCTGCTTGCTGATAAATTTTGTTATAAATGTAGATTGGAGGTGTAACTGGACTTGCACTAGCTGTGGCTCTGTTCTTTGGATTTGAGTCTTTCTCTGTGCTGTTCACAAATGATCCGGCAGTTTTAGACATTGCCAAATCTGGAGTCTGGGTAATGAAGAATAATTGGAATAAAGCACCTGACTTTTAAAAGTAAAGCATGATATTGTTAATGCTCATTTTGACAATATAAACTCTTGCAGTTTGTCACTATTTCTCAGCCAATAAATGCTATTGCGTTCATGATCGGCGGGCTGTACTATGGCGTGTCTGACTTCGCCTATGCTGCATACTCTATGGTATGGATATTGCTTTCTGCTGTATCCCCCATTAGGTTGTCATGACTAAACGTAGCGGAATTCTGGCGCGCTTACAATTTTTGGCATCTGTGTTGCTCGGTTCTTTGTTGGGGCTGTTTCATCGGCATTCCTACTTGTCGCTGCTCCTAAGCTTGGTCTTGGTGGTGTTTGGTCTGGTCTAGTTCTTTTTATGAGCTTGAGAGCAGCTGCTGGATTTTGGAGGTACTACCTGAGGTTCCAGCTGCCCCTTTTCTTGAAATATGGATAGCGTAAACCTTGGTGACTTAGTATTTTTGCTGTTGTCTGCAGGTTAGGGAGCAAAGGTGGACCATGGAAGCACATCTGGTCAGATACTGAACTGATAAGTGAAAGAAATGACATGTCTAGGTGATTCGACAGGAAGATGGTAACAAAGATTATTGACAGCTAACGGCATTACATGTAAATAACCAGTAGAAGTTGTGCATGAAGTAGAAGAGTATTAACTGTCTAGGTTCTGATCTTACAATCATACAAATTGTGAACTACTACTAGGTGAAATGCAGATAGTGTGGTGGCGAGGAAGAATGGTTATATTTGGGCAAGCCCACTTTTGCTGTAAAATGTGGAAGAGACTAATTGGTCTGAGGCTCATGGATGTACACTCTGCTTATACTCTAGCTTCACTAAGGTTTAGGCAAAGGGTTTGTTGTAACATAGTCATCATAAAGTAAATGTGAGACCTGGCAATCGTCTCAATTTGTAATGCAGAGTATTTGGAAAAATGGGTATCTTTTTTTTTATTGGGCGAAAAACGGGTATGTTTCGAGATTTGATGAAGACTGAACATGATAAGCTCAGTTGAATTTGTGCACGATACTAGCATTTGATTGATATACTTTTTTTGAGGAAATATATTTTTATTTTCTTTTTTGAGAGGACTAGCACTTGATAACTTGTGAAATTGGCCCAGTGGCGGATTAGGAAAGGGCCCACTAGGCTGGAGAGGCCAAAAGCCCATAGATCTCCCAGGGCCCACCGTCCAACGATCCCAAAAGGCTGGCCCGCATCGCGTTCAATCTAACCAATCACACTCCGACCACTGTGACCACTCGCTCGCGCGCCCATGGCGGCGACCTCGCCGACGCCGACGAGGCCTGCAGCCGCCGCGCACGCCCGAGTCCCGTCCGCGGGGCCCAGCCGTGTCTCCTTGACCTCCTGCCGCTGCCACCGCCACCGCTCTACTCCGCCTCGGTGGAGGAGTCTCCCACGATGCAGTCGCGGTGGTGGGAAGCCGGTCATCACAGACGTCGTCGACGAGGCGGCACCCAATAAGGGGCCAGAGACTGAGACTGAGAGTAAGGGTGGCGAAGAGAAGGAGGCCGTCGCGGGGCGCGGGGCGCCTGGGTGGCTCTGGCTCAGGCTTGACGGAGTTGCAGCTGACATCCTCGCCATCGCCGCGCCCGCCGTGCTCGCGCTTGCCGCAGACCCCATCACGGCGCTCGTCGACACCGCCTTCGTCGGACATATCGGTAATCCAGTCTCATCCATGCTGAACTGCTTTGTAATCCAGTGCATTTCTTCGTTTCAAACCTAGAATCATGCCATACCAAAACTGGCAAGAGGCCGGTTTCAGTAAAAAATTAAGATTGCCTTGAGGGGGTCAAGGTCAACCTTTTCATCCATTTGATGATTTAGAGTCTCTTGTCAGGTTCGGCTCAGCTTGCGGCTGTTGGTGCGTCGACTTCCATATTCAATTTGGTATCCAAGCTGTTTAATGTGCCGCTACTTAATGTCACCACATCATTTGTTGCTGAGCAGCAGGCAAAGGATGGCAATTCTAACACCGCAGGGGAAAGTAAGCAAATGAAGATTTCCATTTGTTTTCTGAAAGAAGCTCTGTTGTTCGCATTACACTGACTAGTGTTTAGTTCTCACCTAGGAGATGAATTGTTGACGCCAATAGAGAAGGCAAGGCGACAAAAGAAGGTTCTTCCAGCGGTGTCAACGTCCTTGGCTCTAGCTGCTGGCATTGGACTGTTGGAAATGGTAGCTCTGATTGTTGGATCTGGGACCCTGATAAACATCATTGGTATACCTGTCGTACGTAAGGCCAATTTATTCACATGCTCAGAATTCTAGGATCTGTTTCTTCCCTTGACAGCACTGGGTGTTAATATTCTTAGGTGTTTCATGTATGTTTGGTTGGCTGTTGGTCTGAACTATCCGATGCCTATGTGGCTAAGTTCCTAATGAAATCTCTGCAAAAATCATTGTGCCTAAGTCACTATTCCTAATGATATCTCTGAAAGTGCTTTCACCTTATTATATGAATCTAATGGGAAACTTGTCCACAAACATTTTCCAATCATGTCACACATTTGGCACTGCAAAAATATAGCACTTCTAGACTATTTACCTTTTCCCGTTTTGTGGTGGGTGGGCTTCTTGAATTCAGTCTATGAAACCAGGTTTCCATGGTCCGTCAACTCAAAATTTTCGGACTTTAAGGTTCCATACATAATGTTGCGACTGTTATAAATGATACTTAATGACACCTGTGACTAATTCCCTATACTCTTGCAGTTTTCTTTCAAAACACTCTTTGCTGAACATAAGCTTTTTGATTTATTGTCAACACAGGATTCACCTATGCGAGCACCAGCAGAACAGTTTCTTACACTGAGGGCACTTGGTGCTCCACCAATCATAGTGGCACTTGCAGCTCAGGGTGCATTTCGTGGATTCCTGGATACGAGGACACCGTTGTATGCTGTGGGTAAGTCTTTGCCAGTTCATTTTGACAAAATAATGTAACACATAATACTATTTTTTTCTCCATCTGGATTTGTTTTGACCTTGCTATTTAAATGCATATTCTTTTGTTGTAACTATTTTTTATTTCCTATCCAAACTACTCTATGTAACTGATTCAAAATGATCAAGCAAGGAACTGATGGTATGATGCTTACAGGTGCTGGCAACCTATTAAATGCAGTACTTGATGCATTACTTATTTTTCCACTTGGTCTAGGAGTAAGCGGTGCCGCACTGGCCACTGTGTCCTCTGAGTATGTTGATGCCATCATGATATTCTTATATATAAAATGAGGTTTACTTATTTGGAGTATCTTTGCCTCTATTACTATTATCGAACTTATAATTATCTAAAGTATTTCTATCTTTTGTCTACATGTATTCAGGTACTTGACAGCATTCATCCTCCTTTGGAAGCTGAATAAAGAAGTAGATCTGTTCTCATGGAATATAATTGAGGATGGAGTCATCCGCTACCTGAAATCTGGTTGATCAATATCCCTCGTGCTCATATGCAAGGATTTTTCATCTGATGGTTTTTGCCTAATCATAACTTCTTTTGATAGTTATCGCATTAAGCACCCAAACTTACATCTTAGTGTAATATATTTTCGGGTAAAAAAAAACATCTTAGTGTAATTGACCTTTATGATAGCCACTTGAATTTGAACGATTTTCAGGTGGTCTACTAATTGGCAGGACAATTGCAGTATTCTTGACACTGACACTATCTACATCCCTGGCTGCAAGGGAAGGGCCCGTTCCAATGGCGGGCTATGAGATATGCTTGCAAGTGTGGTTAACAATTTCTCTGCTCAATGATGCTCTAGCCCTTGCTGGCCAGGTCTGCAAAATTACTGGAATGGAACTTTCGTTGAACTCGTTACCTATGTGTATCTGCTTGTGAAGTATCCCTAATTTGCGCAGGCTCTACTAGCTAGCGAATATGCAAGAGGGAACTACAAGCAAGCCCGCACGGTTTTATACAGAGTCCTGCAGGTTAAGAAGTCATTTCTTGGAAATAGTTCGCAAATGCCACCAGTTTATCCTTCTCATTAAGGAGCTGATACTGTTCCTTTTTTCCTTGTAGGTTGGAGGTGTGACTGGCTTTGCCCTTGCTGCTTCCTTCCTTTTTTTTGGGGTTTCGATCTTTGTCCTTGCTGTTTACAGATGATCCAGCAGTTTTAGACACATTGCGCTCTGAAGTCTGGGTAAGAACATGCTTGAGAAATGAGAAGTTTACACTTAATTTCTGAAGAAATGTACAGCGATTTATGTTCATAGTTGTTGGATTTTTGCAGTTTGTCACTATTTCTCAGCCGGTGAATGCTATTGCATTTGTGGCTGATGGGCTCTACTATGGTGTTTGTGACTTTGCCTATGCTGCATATTCCACGGTTGTGATTCATAATCTTACTCTGTCGCATTGTTATGTCAACGATACTATCACACATTATCATGTCATCAGTTATCACTTCAACACAACTTTACCATCCTAATCGTGTTGAACCTTTGTTGTTTCAGTTTTTTGCGGGGGCAGTCTCATCAATATTTCTACTAGTAGCTGCTCCTAAGTTTGGTCTGGGTGGCATATGGGCTGGTCTTACTCTGTTCATGAGTTTGCGTGCAGTTGCTGGATTCTGGAGGTAGTAATTGATGATCCCTTTGTTCTTCTCTGATTTATTTTTTTCATATTTTTTTAAAAACTTGAGGAAAAAGGAATATTCATGTACTGGAGTCTTTGAATAGAAGCAGCATGGAAGTCTTAAATTTTACAATCGGTTTTTTCTTGTTTTCAGGTTAGGGAGCAAAGGTGGACCTTGGGAGATTATCTGGTCAGATAGTGAGTAAAGCACAGATATATGACTATGTAGGTTCGATTGTTCAATTGATCTCCCACACTCCCACAGCAGGTAAAGGGTAACGGTAGCAAGAAATGTGCATACTGCTGCAGGTCATATATAGCCCTGCGTGAGAGGTAGCTGATGCATCTGTGTGGAAGATGTACCAGTGTCGGATAGCTGGGCTGTCCTGTGGCTGTTGTATTGTAGGAGACTAGGAGCTCACAGCTTTCAACTGTGTTTTGCATACCATATACTGTACAAGAAAGTTGTGTTTAGTTATAACCAAAAAAAGGAACGAAAGCTGTGTTCAAATAGAAAATCCTGTCCTGTAAATTTCGTTTTGGAAATCCTCCGTGTAAATGAAAGCCTTGTCCAATATTCTAGGATCTGTAAATCTGGCAATCATTATTTTTGAGTTGGTTGTTCCAACATGCATTATTTTTGAGTTGGTTATCATTATTTTTGAGTTGATCTGTAAACTGTAAATATGTGTGAACTTATTTGCGTAATATTACTTCAAATATACAACAAACAAACAAAACTCTGCATTTTATTTTTTTCGTCAGGGGTAAAATGGTCAATTTACCCTTAACTTAACACCGTCAAGTGCCAAAAACAGACGGAAGGCCAATGAAGAAAGATAATTTTATTTTGGGGCCGCACAGATAAGTTCAAAAAAAAATCGGACCATACAAGAAAGGGGCATTTTTTCCAGGGCTATACAGGTAAATATCACTTTTTTTTGAGAATCTGCTGTGGACGAAAGTAATGTGATGGCATGGACAAGTTTTGTCCTACACCACTAGGCCTGCACGAAAAACTCGTAACTCGCTAGCTCGCTCGACTCGCTCGTTAGTGGTTCGGCTCAAGCTCGGCTCGTTTGAATTTTTAATTAACGAGCTAGCTCGATCCAACTCGGTTAATTAACGAGCCAGCTCGTGAGCCACTCACGAGCCAAAACAAGCCAAGGTAATTCACATAACAACAACTGCAATCGCCCCATATACCCTCGGTCCAGCCCAATACAATTTTAAGCTGACCATATATCTCTCTTCCTATGGCCCAACACGATCTCTCTTCCTATGGCCCAACACGATTAAACACTAAAACTCTAGACCAATCCACCCCATGGCCCCACCCAGTCACCCCACTGGCCTACCCTACGGCATCATGTTCACGCGAGATGAGTCCAAAATTTATATGTAATTTGTTTATTCTATTTTAAATATGCATATGATGTGTTTGTTGTTATACGGTTATAATATCTATGTACTGTGTTTTTATGCTTTGGCTCACGAGCCAAACAAGCTAGCTCGAGCTCGCTAACGAGCCGAGCCGATCTATTCTTTATGGCTCGTTTGTATAATGAGCTATAACGAGCGAGCTGGCTCGATATCCAGCCACCACGGGCTCTAGGCCAAGAGAGGAGGCTAGACAGGCCATTGGCTAGAGCCCATAGCGAAGTGGAAACTAACAGGCCCAAAAGCCCATTATTAGCCCAGGAGAGAGAGGAGATTCCTTTCCGTAGCGGGAGGATAGAGAGGGAGAGGAGCAGCAGAGACCGGAGAACAGTGGCGGAGGCGAGAGCAGGAGGAGGAGGAGAGAAGGCACCGGTGGGAGGGCGAGAGGCGGAGAGGAGGAAGAGAAGCGAAGCGAGGATGCCGTGCTGAACGTGTCGACCAACGTGAACCTGGAGGGGTGGACACCTCCACCATCCTCGCCGAAGCCTCCAAGTCCGTCGCCGACATCATCGGCAAGCCAGAGGCCGTAAGCCTCCGCCTTCCCCTGCCCCCGGACTTCTCTCTTCCCCCCTGGTTCTGGCTCCCCTTCTGTCTCTTGTTGCTTGTGTAGGTAGGCTCTTGTAGATTGTGGGTCTATTTGGTTGGTGGAGATTATGCTTCCATTTTTAATTGGCACATGGTAATCTGCTAGGGTTTTGAGCAAGATGATCATTTGCATGACACCTTTCTGCAGCTATCAATCAATAGATCGTGTTTATTGATGTCAGTTTAAAGAGATTTCGTGTGAATCAGTTAATCTCCCAATATTTCTAGTCTTTGGTAAATACTGCAATGGGGATTTTTACCTCTAAGCTTTTATTTTTGGGGAATATCCTCTAGGTGCAGTATGGACGCCACTGTGCTCACACTCACTGAACTCACTCGAACTTTGATAATATTCACATGGCACATCCTACAATCCCTAGAATGGTACTGCAATTTTCCTGCTTATAGTGGCCATGCTTAAATTGAGTTCATATATAACTAAACTGTTGTTTTTGTTTTCATTTTAATAATTTCAGCATTGAGAAATACAACTAGATAACTCAAAGTATGAGACTGCATCCCTAGTGTCTATGTAGAACTAATATACTGACCATCGTGATCACGCAGTACAAGAAATTCCAAACCATTCACCTACCATTTTCACTATCCTGCCAATCTGATTATTGAATGTGGTATATTGACATTGATGAAAGTCTTATGCTCACTGTTTTTCTGGACTAGATTTCTATCAACCAGCAACCCCTAGTGTATAACATTCTTTAGCACTAATATCAAGGGCTGTTAAATATGTAGATCATGGGCTGCATGTACAGCCATCAATTTTACATAGATCAAATTTGAAAGTTCATGTTTATCAGTCACTTTGTGTTAGTGTTACTCAAGCTGCTGCTTTGATATGTAGTTCAGTACCCAAATTTTACATAGATCAAATTTGAAAGTTCATGTTTATCAGTCACTTTGTGTTAGTGTTACTCAAGCTGCTGCTTGATATGTAGTTCAGTACCCAAATTTTTATGCCCCATACTAGAGGCCACAGATTTTCATCTCCTGTTAGTTGTGTAGTAAATTTAGTTTTAGTCAGGCTGCTGCTTTGCTACTATCAAGGATAAAAATGACCTCTCTGAATATTCATATCCTGACCACGCTAATCTCATTCTCATACTAACACTATTTGGATTCCTGGTTGGGTGACCTGTGGTGCTAGGCTCAAATTACTGAACTTTAGCTTTTATTATTTCTCTGTTCTTGACTTATTTGGATGAAGCCATGTCTCTTGAGTGCTATCATCTTGAGGAACTAATTGGAATGGTTGTCCTCCCACATTACATGATGGTTGTTCTCAAGGGTTACGGCACTTGGCAATCTGTTAGGGTTTTGAGCGGGATGTGCATTGTCTGCTTGACACCTTCTACATCTGTTGTCAGTCAATCAATCAATTGGTCGTGTTTATTGATATTAGTTTAAAGAGAATTCGTTTGAATCAGTCAATCTCCCATGTTTCTCTTTGGTAAATCTGCAAATGGGGATTTTTACCTCTAGGCTTTTATTTTGGGGAATACCCTCTAGGTGCATTATGGACGCCCCGATGTTGATTCTCTTGAACTCACTCGGAGAATCCCTAGGATGGGACTGCAATCTCCTGTATATCATGGACATTCTTAAATTGAGTTCATATATCAAGAACTGTATTTTTTTAATATTAATAGTTTCAGCGTTGAGGAAGACAACTAGATAACTCAAAGTATCAGATTGCACATCCAGGGTCTATGTGGGACTGATATAATCGACCATTGTGATCACTCAAGTACAAGAAATGCCAAACCATTCGTCTACCAATTTAATGAGATGTAGTTAAAGCAAACTAACTGATGAAAGTCTATGCTCACAATTTTTCGGACCAGATTTCTATCAACCCAGCAACCCCCTGGTGTATACCTTTCTTCAGCACTAATCCCAAGTGCTGTTAAATATGTGGACCATGGGCTGCGTGTGCTTTTCCTTTATATTACCCTAGTACTACAGCCATCAATTTTACGATGAATTTTGAAAGTTCATGTTTATCGGTCACTTCGTGCTAGTGTTACTCATGCAGCTGCTTTGCTATGTAGTTCAGTACCCAAATTTTTGTGCCCTGTACTAGAGGTCACAGCTTTTCATCTTCTGTTAGTCGTTTAGTCCATTTTGTGTTAGTCAGGCAGCTGCTTAGCTACTATCAAGGACAAAAATGACCTCTCTGAATAGTGAATACATTGTGTTCATAATCTGACCATGCTAATGTCATTCTCATAACTCATATACTAACATTATTTGGATTCCTGGTTTTGACCTGTGGTGCTAGGCTCAAATTACTGAACTTTAGCTTTTATTGTTTCTCTGTTCTTGACTTATTTGGATGAAGCCATTTCTCTTGAGTACTATCATCTTGAGGAGCTAACTGGAATGGTTATCCTCCCACAGTACGTGATGGTTGTTCTCAAGGGTTCGGTGCCTATGGCATTTGGAGGTACCCAGGAGCCTGCAGCTTACGGTGAGATTGTTTCCATTGGAGGCCTGAACCCTAATGTGAATAAGAAGCTTAGTGCTGGCATTGCTTCTATCCTGGAGTCAAAGCTGTCCGTTCTCAAGTCGCGCTTCTACCTCAAGTTCAATGACTCAAAGGTAGGCAGCGAATATTTCTTATTGAGTGCTCACTCATGGGGTCCTTTTAACCTTCACCAAAGTTCTCATATTAATTTTGTTGTTTGTTAGGCTCATCCTGCACAAGAAAATGTTCAATGTTTGCATGCTTTGCATCGAGAATAGATCATGTAAATAATCACCTGTTGTTTCATTCCATTTTCTTGTTTTGCATCTTCTTGCCTACGTAGATGGTGTTAAGATCTTCACTGTCAGCATATTCTCAATGTCATGCTAATCGTGAGCACTGATACATTCATTATAATGAATCATGCAGGGCTCGGACTTTGGTTGGAACGGCTCCACCTTCTAGATTTGGGGCTCATGTCTTTAATAAAGGAAATTCATGGTGCCTAATGCCATGGCTATTGCCTATTAAGAACAATTACATGTGTGTTAATTGGTGCTGAACTGAGAATCGGTAACTGTTGTTGTGGGACTGAAACTGGGACCCAGACGTGTTGAGTGCCTCCTAGCATGCTTGTGCTATCTTATTATTGGCTTGAGATCAGTCTATATTGTCTTGGTTGGACTTCGGGTACGGTGACCGTAGCTTGAAATAGTTTGATCTTTGTTAACAGTGAAAATCTGCCAATGTTGCTTTTCAGACTAGCCTTTTGCAGTTGTGATTTTGCTGTCCTGGTATAGTAGTATAGTACATTCAAGAAATGATGCAAGGGGAGGGAGGTTTGGACTTTGGCCCTTGGGTATGGTGGAAGAGCTTTTCTGGTGTGCCGGCTGTTTCTTCTTCTAGATCCAAGCAAAGTACATGGTGGTTGATTGATATTGAAAAAAAGAGGAAGATGCATTGCAGACTTGTTGCTGTTGGTGCTGGACCTACTCTTTGTTGCTGCCTAACCTGGAAAGGGAAACTACTCTGCTACCCGAGCTTTGTTTCTTGTGCATCTTAATTTCAGAGCACATTGCGTCGTTATCTTACCAAACCATCAATGTTAGCTGTATAAGCACTGACTTTGCTGCTTTTGTCGGCAACTCGAGCCTCCTCCTCTGTCTCAAATTAATTGTCGTTTTTTATTTTCGTATTGTAACTTTGACTAGATTTATAGAAAATACGTGCAACATTTATATCTCTAAATAAATTTATTATGAAAATAGATTTAATGATATTAATCCTGTACTATAAATATTAACATTTTTTATATAAAATTAGTCCAATTTATTTCTCGGAAAGCGAAAACGACAGTTATTTTGGAACGGAGGGATTTGAGTGACTGCCCATGCGACATTGCTCGTATGAATTTTGAATTGATGTAATAAAAAACGAACTTTTAATGGAGCCAGGAAAAAAAAATCTTTTCTTTTTTTGCTGTTATTACAATTGTCAGCCAGTCACAATTCTGTGTGTAAAATGAGGAACTCTTGACTTGATGGACTGGAGACAAGGAAAACAACAAATTATTTCTCGACAAAAATAAATAAATAAATAAAAGGCAGATTTTTAGGCCATTTTTCACAAGAAGAAAACGTGCAGCGTGGTGAGTGCTGACTGGTGAAGCGTTGACCCGTGTGTCGGTGCGGTGCGGCTTGTTTGGCAACCACGACGGACGGGGTCGGTCGGTCAGGCCACCATTTGTGTATTCGCGCCCATCTCCTCTCCCTCTCCGCGTCCTCCCTCCTCAGATCCGCCGAACCCGCCGAGACACAGAGATCGCCGACCGCCACCTCGACATACGCCATGGCCGCGGCCTCGCCTCCGCTCCTCCCCACCACGGTGATCCCCGCCGCCGCACCATCCCCCACCCCCGCGCCCATACCCACGGCCCTCTCCTCCGCGGACGCCACCGACACCAACCCAGCGGCGATCCGGGCGTTCCTCTCCCGCCTCGTCGACACCACCCGCCGCGCTCTCTCCGGCGCGCGTCCCTGGTCCGAGCTGGCAGACCGCTCGGCGCTCTCCCGCCCAGAGTCCCTCGCCGAGGCCACCTCCCGCCTCCGCAAGAACCTGGCCTACTTCCGCGTCAACTACGCCGCGGTCACCGCGCTGTGCCTGGCCGCGTCCCTCCTCGCGCACCCGTTCTCGCTGGCCGCGCTGCTGGCGCTGCTGGCCGCCTGGTGCCTCCTCTACGTGCTCCGCCCCGCCGACGCGCCGCCCGTCGCCGCGTTCGGCCGCACCTTCTCCGACCGCGAGGTGCTGGGCGGGCTCGTCGCCGCGTCCGCGTTCGTCGTCTTCCTCACGTCGGTGGGCTCGCTCATCTTCTCCGCGCTCGGTCTCGGGGCCGCGGTTGTGTGCGCGCACGGCGCGTGCCGGGTGCCTGAGGACCTGTTCCTCGATGAGGTTGACCAGTCTGCCGGTGGTGGCGCCGGTAACCCGCTGCTGTCGTTCATCGCGTCCGCCACCGGAGGAGGCCGTGCCTGATGAGTCTCTGAGATCCAGATGCACACCCTCATGAGTGAGAGGTCATTTACCATCATTTCTTTAATTTCTTTCGATTATACGAAACTATACTACAACACAAAAGGTACTTTAGCTAGCACACAAGGAAATTAAACATTGGATTTACTAGTCTAGTCGATCTAGTGGTGGCCCCTGTATGAGAAACCAGAAAAGCAGAAAAAATCTTCTTGTTATGTCTTTTTTTTTTTGACAAATCTTGTTATGTCTTGTTATTTATAGCATTATATATCTGTATTTTAATGATTACCTGTTATGATAATAAATAATCAGTAAACATACGAAATTTGTGTTCAACTCGCACCAGTAAAAGATAGAGATGGTTGCCAGGGCGGTTTGGTTTGCCTTCGTCGGACCATGGACTACACACTCAAATTGTGCAATAAGGACCCTCTCATGCTACCTTAGGTATGATTTCCTCTATCATAGATTCAACAACATAAATTGGTCGGTTTCTAGAGTTCTACATGAGGCAAATGCAATTGACAAAGCTTATTGCATGGCTATTGAGGAGGACCCTGTTACGCATATTCCTCCACAACCTAGGCCCACATGCTTACAGATTTCAGTTGGTCCTAGAATTATTTGTGATGCCGGTGTGCCACCACGCCAAACCAAACAGACATTGGGATTTTCATTCTCACAACCCCTGCAAGAAGTGTTTCCCATGCATCTTTTTTCCAGGTAGCAATTCCCCAGGTTTTGGAACCCTTGGAGGCTATAACTCTCGCCCTGCTTTCTCGGTGCCAAGCTGGCTATGACACTCAAGCCTTTTACTTGGACCCCAAAGTCCAAAAAGTTGCTACAGTACCTGTCACATCGAATGTTTACGGCCCGTGCATGAAGCATTAAATATAGACGAAAATAAAAACTAATTGCACAGTTTGGTGGGAAATTGCGAGACGAACGTTTTGAGCCTAATTAGTCCATGTTTGAACACTATTTGCCAAATAAAAACGAACGTGCTACAGTAGCCCCAAAATCCAAATTCACCCAACTAAACAAGGGCTCTAACTTGTAGGAAGCAACTCTCTGTACTGACAATAAGGTGCTAGCTATGTCTGCTTGTGCTGGTTCACATCAACCTCATCTAGGTCATTGGGCACTACGGCCTCTACTTTCTGAATTGCAGGAGATCAGTCAAGTCAGAAATCTTTCATTCATGAAGATCGGAAGAGAGTCAATCAAAACAACTGACACCCTTGCCAAAAAAGCAAGGTGTGCTAGAATCTAAACTGTTGTCTTCTCTCTTCCCTCAAGGTAGTGTTTAGTTGGCGAAATTTTTGGCAAAATGGTACCGTAGTACTTTCATTGTTATTTGGCAATTAGTGTCCAATCATAGTCTAATTAGGCTTAAAAGATTCGTCTCGTGAATTTGGTCTAAACTGTGTAATTAGTTTTATTTTTTATTTATATTTAATGCTTCATGCATGCGTCCAAAGATTCGATGTGACGGGGAATCTTGAAAAATTTTGCAAAATGAAGTGCAACTAAACAGGCTCCAAGTTTTGGAGCATTTCGGATGGGGCAATCTTAGCCCTATATGTGTACTTTGTTTGTGATACAATGAAAATTTAAACTTTCAAAAAAAAATGGTTGCAAGCATTTTATTATGTTTGTTAGGGACACTGGATTTGGGCTTTACTTTTGGCGATGGTGTAAAGAAATTTTCAGCACGAGTGCTTACAGAAAAGGCAAAAGATTGTAATATGTCTTATATGTGTAAATAGGATTTTTGTGGAAACATTAAATCAAAATAACTTTGGCGATGATGTAGAAGAAAAGGCAAAAGAGTATAGTATGTCTTATATGTGCAAAGAGGAGTTTCCTGGAAACAAAAAATAAAAGGCAAAAGATTATAGGATGTCTCATGTGTGCAAACAGGAGTTTTCTGGAAAAATAAATTAAAAAAATAAAGACAAAGCGCCCACCGTGGGGCTCGAACCCACGACCACAAGGTTAAGAGCCTTGCGCTCTACCGACTGAGCTAGACGGGCTTGGCTGGTAGCGACATCTCCTTTCATCATCAGATAGAACAAGCTGCTCGCGTCTCGTTTAGCCAACTCCTTCGCTGTCCACTCTTCTTTGCAGCTGAGGATAGCGCTGTAATCGCTCAACATATTATGCAACGTGACTATTATTACTACTGCGTCTATCTTATTATAATCCTTAGTAGTTAGTTTTTGACGATGATGTAGTGATAAAAAAATGTATTTGCACTTTTTTTTTTGGATCGGGTACAATAAATGTATTTGCACTTGCAAGTGCTATCAAGGGAAAAAAGATTCACGTGCGTCTAACTGGAACCAAGCTAAGTAGAGATCTAGTAGGCAATAGTGGAGGACTCATACAAATTAAAATGTTGTGCAACCATGACAATATATAAGAGCTCCATTGATCGATTCGTGGTAGAGACAGAGGCAAAAACACTAGAGAAAGCCGGGATGCACAAGAGAAGAAGATATGATGCGCTAAAATCAAGGTCTAGCGGAGGCACTGCATATGCCATATCGAGTCCCCTGGCCCTACTAGTAGTTGAAAGCAAGTCGAACATGGGACTGCCATACCCATACATCACCTCTCCCGGTTGTACCGCTGATGCGTCAACACCTTGACGCCTGACCCTTCTTGATCAGTAATGCTCCAATCAGGACATCCGTCCGGACGGACGGGACGGACCCGCCGTGCGCCGCGCGCTCCTACGTCTCCCGCCTCGCGCCGTGCGCTCCTGCACCTCGCGCCTTGCACTTTCCTAAAAAACTCACGGCTCACACGGTTGCACCGGACACTCCTCACGCCCCTACGCCTCCCGCCTCGCATCGTGCGCCCCTACACCTCGCGTCTCGCACGGTCACACCAGGCCCACCTCACGCCGCGTGCGCCTCGCGCCTCGCGCCCCC